GAAGGGAAATTTAGGAAAGACTATAATGACAATTTGTTTTGTTTGAATACAGTTATTGAACTTACACTCTAATCTCAGCAACACAGGCACTATGCTGTCATACATATCTTTATTTTTGCAGATTTGCATCATTGCCCTATAGCAATTTATGATTCACTTGTTTCAGCAGCTGACAAGGAAAAGGAGAAARGTGATTAGGAGTCCTTGTAATAGACAAGAATCTGCCATGTTAATATAGTGTGTGTCTTTTTTAAAACAGCGCAATTCATTTGTTACTGTTCAATTTGAAACACTGAACTGGATTCAGTGAGTGGAATTTCCTAAGCCACCACCCAATTGTTTGAAGTAAGTTTCTGTGGAAGAGTATGCTSTTCCTACTGTAAGCTAAGAATTCCTTCCATGTGCCACCTCACCTTTAGCAGCTCACTGAAGAAAAGTAAAGAGCAAATTCAAACAGAACCTCCCCATAGATGGTACACACTATGACAATACTGGGGAATACTAGTTTCCTTCTAAAGGAGTTTGCTAYACCCAGATTACTAGCAATTAGGATAAACACTAAATCAGATAAGTTTCTTTATACTTACTGGATTTTCTACCTTCTCTCCTTCTACATGGCCTTCTGCTTTCACTTTTGTCTTATCTATGTCTATAGGTACAGCTTCCAAGGCCATTAGGAGACATGTCATCAGCAAAAGACACTGCTGGGGCAGGACAGATAACCTCTTCATCTGAAATGAGACCAGGTCACAGGAATTAACAAACATCATGTTAGCATACTGTACTGAGTACATTTTTTTTTRCATTGCTACATAGATACCTGTAATTAACCCACTTTCCACATAATGTACTGCTCTCAAGGAACACAAAAACTCAAAGAAGTAAATACAGCTTTAATTTTTAAAGGCCACTTTTGGGCAAACAGATTTCCYTGGATTGACTTACACTTGTGTGTAAAACCTAAGCTGTAAATGGTGAGAGTTTTGTAACATGCTGAGGTATTATCAATAACAGRTGGGAACACCTGTTTAGGATGTTCAAGGCTCACATACTGACATTCCTATTCAGATCATGTCTTTTCTGAATTTATTGGCAAACTCCTAAAGATTACTATGGACACTGAATCAGACCTTAGCATAGTAATGCCAGTCATTTTTATGTTTCAACRCTGAAGTACTTTGCCAAATCCGCAGTCAAGATCCTCTCCAAAATTTATTTAAAGAAAAAWTATTTTACAATCCATCTGATACCCATATTTCAGGTTGATAGAGATTACTGAAAAATAGTGTTCACACTATGGGAAACTATTGCTGAGGCTGAGGCTTTATTAGCTGTTTTCCCCCATACTTTTTTTAGTGTCGTAGGTGGAGCTACACTTGATGACCACTGAAAACTTTGAGGTTTTGACCTCTGTCTTCTGCCCCTCTATCAAAATTGGTTGAAAATAATCCATTCAGAAACTGTTAAGATGAAATACTGAAACAGAGTGAGTACAGGGAATCCAGCTAAAAAAGTAATTACGGTAAACCAGCATCTGACAGCAAAATCATGCTCTTAGAACAATTTGTCCAGTTCAGACTGTGACACTCCATAGTCTCTGCATATTCTATGAGAAACGAGAAAACTCCATTATTACACTGGTAATATAAATCACCTCGTAGAAGGTGAAAGCTGCCAGTCAAAGACTGTCTAAAATTAGCTTAGATATGTCAAAGGAAAAGACATAATATTCAAGAGATGTGCAGTCAAGTAAATCAAAAGTATACCTGCTACAAGGGGAATTTCTGTACAAKCCCTTTAGCAAGTCATGCGAGGAATTCTGTCAAAAGCACTTATATCCACCAACAACAAATCTCTTTTTAAGGGGAGGGGTGAGAGAGACAAACAAATTATGGTGTCAGTGCCAGTTTTCCTGACTATATGATCTGGTACTTGACAGAGAAGCATTGCTTTTGCTTGGATTAAGCTGTCCTTTACTATGGCAATAAATGTTGATGGCAGTACATACTTAATATTAAGCATTGCTGACATGCTTTATTCATCCTTATTCAACTGATAGGAAAATAAAAGCACTCTTATTAAAAAAAAATAGACAATGCATTCAAGATGTGCAGAGAGATTTTTTTTTTTGTTGGGGATGAGGAAGTTGCTGGAAATAAAAAACCACAAAATTTATCCATCTATTGTTTTATATGTCAAAGGCTCAAGAATTACAAGAATTTTCTAAAACAGTTTTTTCTTAACCACATCTTCAGCAAAAGGAACCTAAAAAGGATTATGCTCTGCAAATACCTCTTACTTTCATTTTTAAAAATAACTAACATCTGATCRTTACCAGATGGGATAACAGGAGCTATTGTTGCTGCCACATGGAGCATTTGAAATTGAATGTCAGCASTACGTCAGATTCACAAGGCTGACTAGCCTTCCCTAGGTTATGCCCTTAAAACAAGCAAACAAACACAAAAAAACCCAGACCCAGACTGATTTGCTGGAACTGTTAATTTCTATACCTCTACACAAGTTGTTGGCTTGCAGGGACTTATAAAGCTGATGAGTGAAAGGGTTAGTTATTCACTACTGCTTTTAAAAATGCCTAAGTTCCAGTGTAGTTTTTTTTTTTTACAGAATACTGTTGTATAAATGCTGTGCCTAGGTTTATAATTTCAACAGGATTTAATCACAGGAAACAATAATAGCTAACAAATACTAGGTCTTCAAGTCTCCTAATCTTGAGATGCCAAGACTCAGAGTAGTTCTCARTATTACAAGTAAAACAAAAATCCACCTTGCTGAAGTTCTTGCGGAGCATGACTGGGGCAGTCTAGTAATCTCTAAGTGAAAGGATGTAAGCATGCATGAAGTCTAGGAAACGCATGAGACAAAAGGACTAAACCCCAAAATGCTAATCAAGTATAATTATGTATACTCTCAGCATTTTAGAAGCATTTTTAAAAGGTTACATATGTTTGAAGTATTCACTTTTAAAAAGTGTAACCTTCTGATAATACTAAAAATCTGGACCCCGATGGATATTTTTTCAACCAAAATATTTTCATATATACAAAATTATAGAAATAAAAGTGATTTAATGTTTTACAGTGCTCTAGTTATGCAAGGTGTGTAAACAGTGTTTTAGAAAATCATTATGTGGCTATGAAATGAGCCCATACAGGTWAGCCCAACAGGTGATGGCAGAGAAGAACCGAAGCCAGAAACTCAGGTGCTTCCCACAGGTCTGGTGTTGACTCATTCTCTGCCTACAGCAAGTACTAAGGCCAACACTTTCAACAATGACACCTGGTCTTTGATCCATTTAAAAGACATAACTAATCTCTTAAAGCTCTTGACCTACAACTTCTAGTGACATGAACAATTGTGGAGACAGAGATTGCCAGTTTAGGCTGAAAGGGAGTACATCTACATTTTTCAGACTTTTTCCCTGCTGCTTAGAAACACTGATAGATAAAATGTCCAAGCYGAGCTGAAACAACTGAGATACAAGTAACCATGTTGGTCTGCCAAACCCCACACAAGGGAGCACTAATCGCCACCAGATTTGGGATGGGCCGCTGGAGCTGTATCATCCCAAACTACCTCTGCAGCAGTCAGCAGAGTTTATCTACCAAAAGGCCTAATCAAACTAAGTGCCATTGGTTCTGCTGACTTTCTGTGGAATTTGTGCTCATGGGCAATGGGGTTCTCCTTAACCTTTATAATTACCTGGTGTCATACATAATAGGAAAGACTGGATGATATCACAGTATGTTCTTCATATCTATTTGCTGTAATGGGCTGCACAGAAGACTTCATCAGGCAGTTTTGCTTCAGGCTATACGGTGAGTGTTTTTATTGTAGCTCTTTTGACAAAACAGGCTAAAAATTTCACACATACCAGGAAGAATTAAAAGCAGAGGAGTCCAAAATGGATAAGCAAAAAGTATCTCTATCATCGCAGCTGACTTTGCAGACAGCTATGCCGAACACAGCATTTCCAACAGTATTTTGAGGAACTCAACCATGATGTAACAAGTAAATTGAAAATACATTTCTTAGAATAAAAAATAATTACCTGGTGAAGACAGAGTTGCTGCATTTAGGTATCTACTAGTCCAAGACTAGACTCACCAAAATTTCCTTAAGAAAAGCAGTGACTAAGAYATGAGTCAACCTTTAGAGTGTGCCAGTCACACCTGAGTCATGAGTACCTTCTACTCTGACAGGTATTAGAAGAGAGAAACCAGGCCAATTGCAAAATCTAACATTAATCAGTTGCCAGGAAAACTCAACATAATTCTCAAATTCAACAACTGTGCAGGGAAGAGTGAGAAAACGTAGAATGAGAGGAAAACTGCGGTTCCACCAAGCACTTTACTATTTTATAGGTTTTTGTTCCACCAAGCACTTTATTGTTAAGAATTCATTCCACTCTCAGCCTGCTACCAGCTGCCTTCAAGAGTTTTGGACTTTTGAAAATCCATTCCTGAATGCCCATCCCTTCCCAAGCATTTTGAGTGCATCCATGTGTCTGACCCAGGAATGTGGCTTTCTTCTATACTAGAGCCACCAAGTGAACAATCACAAAGGGTGCTGCAGAAGAGGAGCTGTGTCAGTTTGCTCATTGCCATCAGTGGTACATGATGCAGAGCATACACCCTCCTGCCCTGACATGTGGCATATCATTATTACTAGTCTTCCTACTTCTATAAACTTTAATAGAAATAGAAACTGGTATGGATCTGCCCAGCAGAGCACTTACTTTCCTAAAGAYAGATGGAGTTAATAGTGCAATTGTCATCTGGAAACTCAGTGATTTTAGTCAAAGACAGGTAGGCCACCTAGATGTAACGGTAGCACAACTGTAATCTGATGGTATCAGAAATMAATCTTATCTTTCCAAGAGGAATAAATGGGAATTTCTACTTGTCGTACATACAGAAAACTGACTGTAAGAGCAGTGCTCGAGAACTGAMAATACTGTAGTTTATAAACAAAGCAAATATCCTAAGCTTTCAGGGAAAAGGAAAAATATTAATTCTCCAARTATTTTAAAAAACAGAGTGAGAGCCAAAAAGAATGAGACAGTCATCAGAAAACAGAGCCACCAATGTACTTGCATGAACAGAAAAATACAACTGGAAAAGAAAAGCTGCAGGCTGCCTGCCAGCACTCTTGATAATTTGTTAATCACAAATTCCTATCAACRTCAGTGAAACAGGATTGAACATTTGAATTCTAAAGAGCTACAGGCTTTGAACRTTAACTATAAAATGCTACTTCTAAAGTTTGTTCTAGTAACACTAACACAGGCCTATAAGCACCTATTTTATACACCTGCCAGTGTTACAACACAAACCCAAAAAATTGCTTTTCRTTAAGTTAGCACCCATTGCCCAGAAAACAGCATCATCCAAGTACTGACATCTCTATCACCTTCCCAGCAAATCAGAAATATTAATACCCAAGGTCAAATTTTCTAAAAYTGAGATAAGCAAAACCATATAGTGATGTCAGGATGCACTGTCTGCACATGTAGAAGCTCAGTGGATGGTTATGATGCAAGACAGCACAACTGTAAATGTCACATTGCACATTTGAACTTGCCAAACCCATGCATACCACGAYAGGCAATGAAAACATAAATCCAGACTAACATAATGAATAAATAAACCAACCTACTCATAATTTTTACATATGCCTGCTCTATCTGATATGGAAGTATTTAAACCTGTGTGAGACAGTGCAGATGTGCAGGATAACAGCAATGTTCTCTTCAGTAATGACCRTAATGTGACTTCCTATTTTTATGCTGTACACTGGGGAAATGAACAATCTTCACAGGCAGTGCTGAACTACAAAAACACCTAGGAAACAGATAAAATATATCTACTGATTTTTATTTTTCTAAGAATATTCTAACCTCAGTACTAGAGTGTGATGTAAAGTACTCCTTCAGCAGTCTGCACCAGTCACCTAGCACCTTGAATCTGTTTTCACCTCTCTGAAACAGTAATACATCTGTCCACATATCACAGTTCAAACAGAAAATGTTTCATTATGTGGGTTTATCCATTTCTTTAAAAATTATTTGCAAATCTATAAATTGATCTGCTTACRGAGTCCTAAAAAACTTATATTAGGCAGAAACAGATTATTCTTCTGCCAAATTCTGTGTCTGGAAACACCAGTGTTAGTTCCTCCCATTTTTTTCAGGAGCACTTGCTGCACAGACACCATAAACTATCATACCTTAAGCAATGATGAAAGTCCATGAATCAATAGTTAATGCATTTTCTTCTCACTGTTCATCCAGCGAGTTAATCTGGTGTAAGCAYAGCTGACATGTGGCAGCAATTTTGAGAAGCAAGTGGAAAAACCTGTTTGCATTCACTCTGCTAAGCTAAACCTCTGGTTGTGGTGAGGATGTCTCTTCACTTGATCACCAGTCCTCTACAGTGAGGTTGCTCCTTGAAGACATGAGCAGGAAATGACATGCAAAGGGAAATTGCTACGAGGTGCAATCATTTTTCCTTTACAAGTTAATATTCAAAATACAGAAAAAAACCTCGATACTTCTGTTCCCAAATGAAAACTGATCCTTGTAAAAGTTAATATGCAAGCTATTAGCTATTATAAGCCAGCTGTTACTGCTATATAATTTTATGTGCATATTTATATAGTTTCATTATCCTTCAAGCATTTTTTTCCTCTTCTGTCAAAGTTGTTCACTCACCCCATGATTCAGATGTTGGTGCTTTGTTTTTTCTAGCCAATATCCAACAGGTTTCACATTGCACATGTTGTCCTAATCTTTTGTTAGAGCACATCCCACTCAGTTCTCTGCACCAGGAGACCTTCCTTATTTTTTCAAGATGYGTTTTAATCTTGCACGTAAATAGTTCTGTATTAAACAGTATTATTTAAGAACATAAAGGCAGCAGAATCCTTTTTTCTCATCCTGTTTACTTGACTTAAATTGTTTTCTTTTGAGTTGTATTTGTTATATTTTCACTGCRCTCAAGCTGCTTAATTCTCAACTTCACAACTAAAAGCTGGCTGATGGAACAGCTGCTTTTCTCAGCTTCCCAGAAAAGACAGTGTGCCTCGACTCTGTCTAGTACAACATTTGCTGARAGAACCTCCTTTTAAAAATGCACTTCAGCTGCTTTAATAAATGAGTCATCCAATAGGAACACAAACTATGAATGCTCGAGTGGGAAAGAGCAATTTTATGTTCAAGCCACAAAGGATAATATAATGAAACAATATAACTGTGTCCAGACAGATGGCATAAAAGTAAATTGTATGTCTGCTGCTACATGTGTGTAGCTCTGTCCTAAGTCTGAAAATGTCTTTTCTTCTTGTTACAATATTAATGGTTCATCATTTAAAAACCTGTGTGCACACAAATACACATACRTATTTAAGTTACTACCTGTCTCCAAGGAACTTCCCTATCCTTGCTTCAAAAAAAAATAAACATTGCTGTCTATAAAGCTATCTTACTAATTGAAGAATGTTGAAATATTAGGCTTGTTTTTCAAAGCAACTTGCTTTGTTTTATTAATTCTTTCCAACAAGGTTGGCTCAGAAAAAGATTTATGAGTCCAATAGTCAAGCAAAAACTTGTATGGAATTCAATGTTATTTGATAAAAATCTTATTAACTTCAAAAGCAAATTAAAAAAAATATTACTGCTACAAGTATAGTTTCCTGCACTCTAATTTCAGTACAACAGCACACTTGAAATCTCATAAATTCATTTTTCATAGATGCAAATGGCAATTTTGTGAGTACTGATGTAAAAAGCAACCTCAAATGTAATACTACATGCAAACAATGAATTAGCTCAAACTTCAGCTCAAAAAGTATTTCAGTTATTCTAACAATACACATTTTTCTCTAGTCAACAACAAGTGATGATGCTAAAGTAAACCTTGAATGCTCCAGGAGTTTAAGGTATTTTMCCTCTCTTCAAAAAAACATACAAAGTAGCTCTCCAGAAATTAAATCTAGATCTAATGATATGGAGCCAGATTTAAAGATATTTAGGCGCTTAATGATAGCTGCCTAAGGAGATTTATGTCCACAATTTGCTAATTCCCAGTGATTTCTACTTGCTTAGAAACAAAAAAAAAGTCAACATGCCATTCTAGTTTTATAAAGAACAGCAGGAGAGCTGCAATCATGAAAGGGTCTACACTTCTCTTGAATTACCTATAGTAAKGAATATAATATTTACAACTGCATTTGATTAAAATGGTTTGAATGAAATGCAGTTTCTTTAGCTCTTCCAACTGTCCAATCACACACAGTATGGAAGAGAAAAAACTGTTGAAAGTAACATGAATTTTGACTTATTTCACTGATATCAGTTGGGCATTAGTACCTGGTCATGATTTTAGCTACACAAAAGCACACCTCTATCCAAAAGACTCATGTCTACTATGCAGGAACTCCAGAGAAATCTCTTCTGCTTACTGAGCAATTAAATACTGAAAGCACAGTACCTCGTTAGATCAAATACCTCCGCACAGGAGTTCAGATCATAGGAAGTTCTGATAGTGGCTTTAAACTTAACAGTAAATGATTTTATCTTTCTTATGTAAAGCGCATTTGTTTAGTCACCACAGCTCTAGAACTATTGCGTCAATATTTCCACACCTCTGACATTTGAGTCAATATAATTTACATTTTTTATTACCTCAGAGAACTACTGCTCTCCTCTTTCATGAATACAATTTCAGTTATATATGCATAATTTGGAGGGGGAAGGGGGCAGTTTTTGACAGAAAATATTTTACTTAGCTCATATGAACAGGAAGTTTACATCAGCACCAACAGTACTGCACAGCCAAGGTATGTAAACTTTAGCTTAGTATTATTAAAAAAGAATTATTTTTGCTGTTGCTGCTTGGTTTTATTTGCCCAATGRGGTTTTCTAAATAGAACTTTAGACACCAAATAATGGTATCTCAGGCAGTGTTACAAAGAACTTACATTAGATCCCTTTGCAACCAATTGTTAATGTAAGTTTTAAGCAGACCCAATGGGCAATATTGATTTATAATTTTGTTCACCCCCTCTTCTTTGTAATGTTAATTCTTGGTTAGAAGTGAATGAGACTCACATTGCTCTACATCAACACAATTTGTTTAAATTTGCACTATTCTATTTTATTTAATTATCTTCCTTATTCTGAAACAAAATACTGCTACCATCCTAAAGATTACAAATGCAAGGGAAAACAGATGACCACAGTTAGGASGTAATGTATGTAACAAGGTTAGTAACCTGTGGCCCAATGTGGATGGGTAGTGTGATCGTACAAGACCATTGTGTAGCAAATGACAGTAAGAGATATAACAGGATCTTAAGTGCTCACAGAAGGGTAGGTTTCTCCCATAAACTTTCTGTGAGTTTTAAGCAGAGGTCCATAATGGTTACAGCAAAACCTGGTTTAAAGTCTGTCTGCTTAAAGTGGGTCCTATCCAGTTTTGCAGTAAGAATCTTCCCTGTGCTGCTCTCTCCGGTTGAGAGGGACAGTCACTTCAGAATTCAGAGTAGAATTGCGCCAATATTGACTCAGCTACAGGACTCTTCTTGACACTGAGAGAAAACAAAATGACWAAAAACCCCAAACCTCCACATTGAACTTGATATCATGGGTGCACAAGTACTTCACTGTTGATACTGTGATGGTCTCATGTTGAGACTACTGGATGCTATCTTTCCAYAGTAAATACCTGTAAATCAAACAACAAAGGCTTTTTTTCTCCTACAGGCTTACTAAGCAGTGTTGCCAAATGCAAACTCTTTTGAAAGCCTTGGCCATATTAATTTCAATAAAAAGCATTACCTCTCTATAGCTGTCTCTCAGCCTTTTCTGCTTTTGGAATTATTTCTGTGTGCAGCAGCCAGATGGGCCCTGGAATACTTCCAGAGCGCTCCAGTGGTACTACAGTAACAGTATGGTAAGATGTGGCCAGCTCCAGGGTCCCCAGCACAGGAAGGACACAGATCTGCTGCGGTCAGTCCAGAGGAGGCCACCAAGTTGATTAGAGGGATGGAGCACTTCTCCTACAAGGAAAGGCTGAAAGAATCGGATTTGTTCAGCTTGGAAAAGAGAAGGTTTCAGGGTGACCTAATTGCAGTCTTTCACTACTTGAAGAAAGCCTCCAGGAAAGATAAAGAGACTACTTAAAAGAGCATGTAGTGACAGAACAAGTGGGAATGGCTTCAAACAGAAAGAAAGTAGGCTTAGATTAGATATTCGGAAGAAATTCTTTCCTGTGAGAGTGGTGAGGCACTGGCACAGGTTGCCCAGAGAAGCTGTGGATGCCCCATCCCTGGCAGCGCCCAAGGCCAGGTTGTATGTGGCTCTGAGCAGCCTGGGATAGTGGAAGGTGTCCCTGCTCATGGCACAGAGTTGGAACGAGATGATCTTTCAGGTCACCTCCAACCCAAACCATTGACTCTACGACAGTAATGCTGAAAAGCCGTGCCCCTTCTAGTGAAACCCGTCGAGGCTCCTGCCCAAGTTTTCCCTGCGGTTGTGCAATTACGAGCCACTCAACATCGTGCCGCTGCAGCTGCCACCGCTGCCAGCTCTGCCTTCGTTTCTGCTGGCGCTCTGCAGCTCCCCGTCACCTYCCTCAGAGCCGCGGGCCGGCCGGGGCACGGAGGGAGGAATGGAGGGGTCACGGACACGGACACAAATACAAACACACACACACGCACCTGGAGCCGCCTTCCCAGCGGGCGCCAGGGCGCTCCGGGAAAACTTCAGCTGTGCGCTTCTCCCACCCCGCACGCCAGGCAGCCCCGAGCCCCGATTCCACCGCGACCCGCTGCGTTCCAGCCCGGCCGGYGGARGAGCGCTGAGATCCCCGCGTCCCCSCGCGTCTCCCCGCCACCCTGACAGCGGCTGCCCCGCCGCCAGGCCTCCACCCCGCGCCACCGGCGGGGGCACCGGACGGGGGGCGCTACCTTTGGGTCCCGCTACGGCGCGAGAAGAGCCGCTGCTCCTTAAGGGCGAGGCGCGTCCTGACGGCGGGGTACGAGGCGGGGGCTCCGGCGGGCGCGCTGCGGAGGCGCTGCGG